CCTGGGGAGCCGAACCCCGCTCCGGCGCCTCGGGGCCCTCAGCTGCAGCTTCCACGCCCCAAGGCTCGCGAACCCTGGTAGCAGGGCTCTCCCCTGGCCTTTCTCGGGAGGGGTAAATCCTGCCATTGGGAACGGGTGGTGTGTACGGATCCCAACCGGGGAATGGCGAGTGGGCAAGAAACGACCAGTTCACCCCCTTCGTGTATGCGGGAATGACTTTATTTAATGGAATTTTAGCTTCCGTTCGCATTGAGCTTGACAAACATCACAAAATCCCCCCCAAAGCCTTCTTACACATATAGTACAAAATACATACATCTTTCACCATTTTTTTCCCTAAGAGAAAAAAAAAAATCCTAATAAACGTATATGAAACTAGCTAGAAAAGCAGCGCCAGACCTTGCAGAAAGCTCGTGTTTATCAACACGCTTTAATGATTAATACAGAATGAAAACATTTTCTTCATGCAAGAAGTAGCTACCAGGAGGCAAAACGGATTAAATGCAATTATTTGAAAGAAACTCCGCTGAGCGCTGCCACTTGCGACCAACGGCCGGGACGTGAGGGCTGCGGGCAGCAGGACAGGCGATGCCAACTCCCCGGGAGGGGACAAACGAGGGGCCATGGGCATGCAGTGCCCTGCGGCCTCAGGCCCTGCTGCAGCCCCAGCAGTGGGACGCCAAAAGCCCGACAGAAGCTGCGGGGTGTGTTACAGCCCACCGCTCTGGGGAACTGCTACCTCTCCCAACCTGAAGCCTCAATCCAGATTTCATTAACGTTAGGGCCGACACTTAATTACTCTCTGTTTTACTGGCCCCAGGCTAAATATATTTTCTCACCGTTAGCAAAGCTGTCAGCACATCGCCGGAGGGCTGCTGAACGTGGGCTTGGTTTTCGCGTTCTGGTTTACAACGGCTATGCACCACAGTACGGCAAATATCGCCAGGACAGACAGCTCAGCATCTCTGACACCCTTGAATTTTTATTGCAAGGTGCAATTTGTCAGTGCAGGGCCCACACAAAATGCCGGTAGCAAAATAGGAGTCGTAGCAAATAAATGATACCAAATTTCACCTTGCATCACACAGCTGAAACACAGGAGAAAGATCAATCTAATTCCGTGACGACCATTTTATGAACATGTAAGATCAGCTTTCCTTTGCAGCACGAACCGCCTGCGCAGCAAAAGACTCACGCCTGCACAGGCACAGAGAGCAGCGTTTGGCCTGGAGGAGCTAAAGGCCGCTCTCCTTGACAGCCGAGGCGATCCGATGCGGGTGCGAGCAGGGCTCCCGAGCCCGGCCACTGCCGTAGGAGCCGCCGGCTGGGCCGCAAACG